TGAGGATGGCAGGGCGGGCAGGGGGTGGACGGTGGAAGAGTGGATGGGTGGGGTGGCAGGGTGGTTAGGAGGGAGGGGGTAGGGCCACGGGGTGGTGGAGGGGCGGGGCCGCATGGGATGCCCAAGATGCCAGGGTCGAGGCCAGTTCCTTCTTGATGGCTGTGGTTCTGAGAATTATGCGGCTCCCTCTACCAACCTTGCACCTCAGCTAGAGATCTGAGACCTGTGTGAGGCCCAAGGAGGTGGAGTATCCGCCAGCAGGGAAGGGCCCAGCCACTCTTCTTGGCATTTCGATCCTGCTGCTCCTGGAGGGTGGCGCGCTGGATGCCGCTATGAATTGGTGGTTTTTCCCAATAAATGTCCCAAAGTCTGTTATTCTTGCTAAAGGAAACTCTGGTGCAGAGGCCCAAGATGCTGAGATTGAGGAAGAAAATGAGAAAGTTATCACAAAACCAGGACCGGAAAAGGATGTGGAGCATGAGGAGAGCAAGCCCGAAGACTCCAGGTATGTTTGTGTGGCTTCCTGTACTACCCAGGCATTCCCGCCACTCACCTGTTGTTGACAAAACATTTTTAATTCTCCCGGTAAATTAAGAACAAGCGTGTTTAAATTTAGCTTAACATTCAATTTTACCTTCTTTGAATATTCATACTCACCTAGTAAAATAAAATGGGTGTATCTTCTTCATAGCTACGTACTTTTTGTCCTCTACGCTAACTAGCAAGCACAAAAGGTGTCCACGCCTAAGACCAGTTTTGTTTAGAAAAGTTTCTGGAAGCAGCTGCTGAGCAGACGTGGGCCTTCTTTACTTGGCCTCGCAAGGCTTCCTGCACTAAGTAGGGGACGGTGCCCCTCCGAGCCTCACTACTTCCAAAAGGCAGAACGTTGAGGATTTCAAGTAGGAAGCCTTTACTGTTCAAGCCTATGTAGTTGTTCAGCTGTAGGCTTTTCCTCTTGTGACAAAAGAAACTCAGCCATAGTGTGGTTAGTGTTAACCCCTGAATTGGTAATTCTTTGAATATATATAAATGATAAACTTTGCCCCTCGCATTTGCACAGCTGTGTATTTCCTAATAACCGCCTCCTCTCATGTGGTGGCGATGGAAAAGGAGGGCCTGGGAGGATAGGAGACGACCATTTGTGGAATAAGCAAAGGCTCTTCAGCCCCAGAATGGCCTCTTAGGGGGAAAGATGCATCTATGTGATTGACAAGAGGGAGACAAGGGAGACACGGGTCCGTGATTGAAGCCACTGGTTGCACGAGCACTCTGTAGCCAGGGGTGTGTAAGAGGAAAATGTGTCGCCCTCTAGTCGCTGAGACGCAGCACACAAATGCAGCAGACACATTCAAAGGAGTGTTTCCTTAGATTTCAAGAGTAACTGATGCTGGGTAATGTTGAACTGATTTTCTCACCTTTCTCCTGTTGCAGTGAGGACTAGACGAGGATGGTGAAAGAAGAAAGAACCGGTTCTTCGTTTCATCACCTGAGAAGTTATCTCCATGGATACGATATTTCTCTTTCATAGATATATGTAATAGCATGTGTTCAAGTTTTAAAGTTTGTTTTAGATAAGTTGAAACATAGGCAGGTTTTTAAGAGTAAATAGCACTGTTTTACCTTCTTGTAGTAGCCAACTTTACCATTTATTAAAGCATCACTTTCCACCTTCTAGGAAGCTTAAATTCCCTTACTGCAGCCCCAATATTCAACGTATCAAGTTTAAAACAGTCTTTGTAAAGAGAGAAATGGTGCCTAGCCTTTAGAGCGACTCTGTACTTTGCTACGTGTGGCTGCTACCTGCTTGAAATGTGGCAAAGTCTGGTTTGAGGTGTGCTGAAGTGTGAAAATAATTTAAAAGCTATTAATTGCATATTGAAATGGTAGTGTTGGAATAAATAAAGTATTAAAAGTTACTTTGACCAGTCTCTTTTTACATTTTTGTGGCTACTATAATATTTACAGGTGCACTTGAATTGTGCGTGACCTGGATAGCATTGCTGAGTAGTTCTGAGGGAATGTCGTGAACGGCCAGCTTGCCTGGAGGCCAGCTAGTGCTTGAGCCTGAGCCTTGATTTTGATTTGCAGCAGCAGTTCTCAAAATGTAGACTCTGGTCAAGAGTCATCAGCACCCTGAGAACTTGCTAGAAATGCAGGTGCCCAGGCCCATCCAAGCCCTGAGAATCAGAAACTCTGGGAGTGTTTAACCAGCCCTCCAGGGGGCTCCGATGCAGCTGTTTGAGGAGCACATAAGCCACAGGAGAAGGTGCTGCAGACCCCAGCCCTCAGCTCCTGCAAGGAAGGAGCGGCCTTAATTCACTCCTTTGGGATGTTGCAGGTAAACTGAACAAGATGGCTTAGGAAGACACTCAAACTGGCTGGGGAGGTGCTAAGACTGGGTGATTGCAGCAGAAAGGTGCATTAGGGGATAAGCCTGTTCCAGAAGGATGTGGACCTATTCCTATACCTTGTGTAGGAAATCTTGAAAACATCAGCATGGTCACCGGTGTGTTGATTGTGTATGCAACAATCTGGGATAACAAGCATGTGAGAGGTGCGTACAGATGCAGCAATGTGCTCAGTGATGTGGCTTTAAACCTCTCGTGTAGTGGTTACCACTTCCAGAAAGGAAAGGGGGGCTTGGGCAGAGGGGGGGTGTTCAGCTCTTTCTGTAATGCTAAATTCCTTCCGCCTGGTGGCGGTGCGCAGATGCTCCACCTAACCCGCTAATGGAAGCACATCCGCAAACCTTTTTGGTCACTAATGCCGACGTTTGAAAATCCACTCTCAGGCGTTCCTATGGCCGGTACCACGTGGCCAGACATGCGCAGGCAGGCCCCTGGTCATCGCCTGAAGTGAAAGGACAGGCCGATAGTCTCGTAGAGTGTGATTCGAGGGGCTTCGTGTCGGTTCTGCTCTAGCATTGTTTTTAGACCCAGGGAAGAGGGACCTCTATCCTGAGCTCCAGGCTTTGAAGATTCACCTTGGCCCAAGCCACCACACCCCTCCGTGTGAGGCCAAGAACTCAGCCATGTGAACAAGGGGTGTTCCCCTGCTAGCCCACGCTCCAGCACCTGGCACCCCAGGGCCGGAGTGACCCTCTTGGAGCAAGCGACCTCAGGAGGGCTGCTGCCCC